GCTTCCCAAGTAGCTGGAACTGCAGGCATGAGCCACTGAGCTTGGCTACTGTAGTGGTTTTTCTAGTAATAAAAATAATCCATGTCCATTGTGAGAAACAGGCAACAATATAGAAAAGTATAAAGGAAACTTAAAACACTTATAATCCCCCCACCCTGAGTTAACAGCTGTTCATATTTTGATGAAGTTCCTTCTGGTCTTTTTTTAATTTTTATGAAATTGATCCTAATTCTGTATAGGCCATACATGCTGAATTGTGATATAAATATTTAATATATTATTATAATTATATTCCCAAGCCATTGAGTGTATATATATATATTTTCACTGACTTTTTGAATAGATTTCTGTTTTGTAGGTGGATTGTAAACTAATTTATCTTACAGTGATACGTATTTTAAACTTTTCCTTTCTGTGCTGTTATTTAAAGTCAGTGTACATAAATCATTATGTGGCTCTCTTAAGATAAATTCTCAGAGGTGAATCACAAATTGTAAAATCCTTTAAAGACTCTTGGTTCTTATTCCGGTTGCTCTTCTAAAATGTTCTAGTTTTTATACCTACAATTAGCATTGAAGTCTTATTCATACTGACAGTGTCAGGAAAATAAAATGTATCTGAGAATTTGACACAGAATTTGCCTTTTTTTTTTTTTTGAGACAGGGTATTATTGCTCCATCACCCAGGCGAGACTGCAGTGGCATAATCATAGCTCACAGCAGCCTCAGACTCATGGGCTCAAGGGGTCCTCTTGCCTCAGCCTCTCTAGTAAGTGGGACTACAGGTGTGCAACAATACACCTGGCTAATTTGTTTTTCTTTCTTTTCTTTTCTTTTTTTTTTTTTTTTTTGAGTCAGAATCACAAGTTGTCACCCTGGGTGGAGTATTGTGGCATCATAGCTCACAGCACTTGGACACCCTTTAATACTTGGGCTAAAGCGATCCTTTTGCCTCAGTTTTTCTGTCTTTAGTAGAGATGGGGTCTCACTTTTGCTCAGGCTGGTACCTGGCTAATTTTTAAAAGATTTTTTTGTAGAGAAAGTTTTGTTCTGCATCCCAGGCTAGTGTCAAACTTCTGGATTCAAACAGTCCTCTTCTCCTGGCCTCCTAGGGTGGAGGTTTGAGTCACCATGCTCAGTCATTGCATTTCTTTAATTATTAACAAGAGTTCACATATTTCCCATGTTTAATGGTAATTTTAATTTTCTGTGAATTGCCTGGGCACAGTGGCTCATGCCTGTAATCCTCACACTCTGGGAGGCCAAGGCGGGTAGATCACTTAGGCTCAGAATTTCAAGACCAGCCTAAGCAAGAGTGAGACCTCTACCTCTAAAACTATCTGGGTGTTATGGTGGGTGCCTGTAGTCCCAGATACTCGAGAGGCTGAGGCAAGAGGATCACTTGAGCCCAAGAGTTTGAGGTTTCCGTGAGCTATACCATGGCACTCTACCAAGGGCAACAAAGTAAGATGCTATCTTCAAAAAAGAAAAAAATTCTGTGAATTGCTTATAATTGTTTTCTGTCCATTTTCTCCATAGGAGAGGGACTTATCTTTTTCTTGTGAGTACTTAAGAATCTTTTTATGTTAGAAATCCTTTATCTGACAGTTTTCCTTAATGTAATGACAATAGAGGCTCTTGACTGGCTTCCACTTAACTGATTTGCCAAATTGGCCAGTACTCTCCACTTGAAGCAAATATGCCTCCCTGGCCCAGCAGCACCAAATAGAGCAGGGCAGCTCCCCTTCCTGTGTCTGCTGCCACGCACTGTACCTGTCAGCCAGGAGCCAGTGAGCTGTGTTTGTTTCCAAGCCTTCTTATTTATTTCAGATATATTGTTGTAATTACCGGGTTAATAAAACCAGTGAAATAGTATGAAAAGAACTGTTTCTATGAAAATTAAGATGCTTTAGAAAGACTCAGTAGGGGAAGGCAACTTTTAAAAATTGGTGTATAATTAGATGTAGGACAAGTATAAATGATCAGAATGGATTGTAGAAACCTAGAAAGATCCCGTGTGGGAATGCACACAGGTGATGAGTTCTCCCTTCACCTGTAGGACACTGAAGCCAGAAGCGAGTGATGCATTATACAGAGGACAGCAACCCGCTCCAGGCCATATCCACGCTCTAAAGACCCACACTCTAAAGGACAGTCGTTGGCCCACATATTTTAATAAAAAGCAATTCCATGCTTTTACCAGCTTTTTTGGGTTAACTGGTCAATCCTGGTCATTGTGACGTTAGTTGTATTTCAAAGCCAGGGTGGACACTCAAAGAACAGAGAAGCCTAATGGAGTACCAAGCTTCTCTCCCATTCTAGGAAATGGTCGTGTTACCAAACTCTCTTCCTTAAAGTTATCTTTGCCCTGATGATTCATAAAATGGAATTACCAAGTTTGTAATAATGTAATTGGGGTTGTACCCTTTCAGAAAAACAATTCCTGGAGGTTTACTTTAGTTAGTAGCACAAAAGATAGAATTAAGAGGTTTTTATTATTTATGTTCTTTTTTTTTTTTTTTTTTGAGATAGAACCTCAAGCCATCACTCTGGGTACAATGCTGTGGCGTCACAGCTCACAGCAACCTCCAGCTCCTGGGCTTAAGCGATTCTCTTGCCTTAGCCTCCCAAGTAGCTAAGACGACAAGCACCCGCCACATTGCCCGGCTATTTTTTAGTTGTAGTTGTCATTGTTTGGCAGGCCTGGGCTGGATTAGAACCCGCTAGCTCTGGTGTATGTGGCTGGCACCTTAGCCACTTGAGCTATAGGCGCCGCCCATTATTTCTGTTCTGTTGGTTTATTCCAAAGAGGTCTTTTAGAGAATGTCCATCTACAAAAGTTCTCGAGTCTTATTTCTGGAAGTTTAGCCTGGTCTCTAGGTATCTCACGTGACTCAGTGTTCCGTCTTGTGTAAGCAGATTTAGGAGGTACACACTGAGTTCCGTACATGTACATACTGCTAGTGGTGGAGCGTGGGCTTTGGGTGTACCAAAGTGAACATCATACTCCATAGGTATTTTTCATCCATCTCCCTCTCCCAGCCTCCCCGTCAGTGAGTCTCCGGTGTCCAGCATTCCAGTCTGTGTACCTTTGAACAGCTGTAGTTTTGCTCCCACTTGTGAGAACACACAGATTTTTCTGTTCCTGAGTTCACGTAGGATAATGGCCTCCAGTTCCACCCAGGTTACTGCAGATGTTATTTCATTCCTACCGCTGAGTGAGCTCCATGGTGTGTACATACACACACCACATTCTCATAATCCACTCGTCTGTTTGTGGGCATCTAGGCTGACTCTGTGTCTTTGCAGTGGTTGACTGACTGTGGGGGGCAGTCAGGTTCGTCACCGAGAGAGGGATTATTGTCCAAGAAAAGACATTTGAGGATCCTCTGAATTCAGAGAGAGGGAAAACTAAAACATAATACTATTTTGTTACCATTTGTATTTGGCGCAGGCCGTGGTAGATCTAGAATTCAAACTAGAATTTTCCCCTCCTTTTTTTTTTTTAAGTTTGATTTCTCACTGTAGTTTCCACAGATGAGTATTTCAGATTTTATTCCATAATGTTCCTCAGCTGTAAGATCCACTTGAGTGGACTTGCTGGTCTGGCAGAACCCTTCTGTGTACTGTCGTTATCATAAAGAAAGTCTAGAGTTTGAGCACAGTTTAAGAAAAAGAGAAAGACTTAAAGAAAAAATAATAAACTATCTGACCCTTCTGTGAACAATATTCATACATTTTCTAACTTCAGAGCTGTTGGTTGGTTTCTAACTTTTAGAATCTATTATAGACCAAATATGGAAGACTTTATTATTAGAGAAGAAACTGTTACTAATTTTCAGAAGACAGTTTAAAAAATGTAGAGAACTGTTGGCTGTGGTGACTCACACCTTAGCACTTTGGGGGGCAGAGGTGGGCAGATCACTGGAGCTAAGGAGTTCAAGACCAGGCTGAGCAAAAGCGTGGCCCTGTCTCTACCAAAAGTAGAAAAGAATTAGCCAGGCCTGGTGGCTGGCACCTGTATTCCCAGCTACTCGGGAGGCTAAGGCAGGCGGATCACTTGAGCCCGGGAATTTGAGGTAACAGTGAGCTATAATGACAACACTGCACTGTACTCAGGGTCACAGAGTGAGATGCTATTCTTTTTTTGGGGGGGGGGGCTGGGTTTGAACCCGCCACCTCCGGCATATGGAGCCAGCGCCCTTCTCTTTTGAGCCACAGGCACCGCCCTGTGAGATGCTATTTAAAAAAGAAGATGACGACGACCACATTTGAGAGAGTGGGCATGGGGAGGGAAGCCGGAAGAAGAGGGAGATGTTACTATCCTTATCTTGTGCTGTGGGTCCCTAGAGGTGCTGTCTCTAGCTGGAAGAACAGGCAGTGAAGGTGTAAGTCTGTTGCTGAGAACAGGGAGGCAACCAACGGGGGATGGCACCTAGGAGAGGTCGGGGAGGGGCCCTGGTGGTGGAGCTGATGGGTGGAGAGGCGGAGGTGCCAGCTGCCACCTCTGTGGGTACAGAGGAGGGGGAGAGCAAATGTTTGCCTTGCATTTTAGGCCCCTCTGTCCTATTTGATTTTAAGTTGTATGCATTTATTTGCTTTGAAATATTTAAGAATGTTTTAAACCAAGAAACTTTTGCTCTATATTTTAAGCAAAGGCAAGGACATATGAGGATGGACTATTTCCATTTATGACTAAATTCATGTTGAAGTAATGATTTTAAAAAGCTTAAACTATTTGGGAACAGTAATTACCTACTCAGTGAAAATATTTAGTGCTTTTCACAAGATTTGGTCAAGGAAGAATTTTTTTTAAAGGAAGAGTTTTTTTTAACTACCTTATTAATAATAGTGTGTATAGATATTAAGAAATGAAGTAAATAAGGAACATATAATGTTGAAAATACAGACTTTTTTGCTTCTGAGACTAAAACTAAGTCTTTCTTCTAATTCTTCTTCCTTTTTTTTTTTTTTAAACTTGTTCTCCTCTTTCTCTTCCAGAAGCCCTTCAGAGGCCAGTAGCATCTGACTTTGAGCCTCAAGGTCTGAGTGAAGCTGCTCGTTGGAACTCCAAGGAAAACCTTCTTGCTGGGCCCAGTGAAAATGACCCCAACCTTTTTGTTGCACTGTATGACTTTGTGGCCAGTGGGGACAACACTCTAAGCATAACTAAAGGTAAAAGGGCTGTGGGTGGCAAGTGCTGGTTGTAGGAGACCAAATCAGGGAACTGTGGCTTAACTTGCTACCCTGTTGCTTGTGAAGGAGCAGCTTTAACGTTTGAATATGCAGAGACACCCAGAACAGTGGCGGCATCTTTCAAGGGCAGTCACCTCTCCTTAAGGAGAAGAATTGTTGCCCAGTAACCTTTAGCAAAAACAGAACTTGCTCTGTTTTTTTTGTGCTGGAAAGATATCTGGTCCAAATACTGAAAACATTTTTTTCCCTAAGAAAAAATAACCCCCCCCCCAAAAGTTGGCTCGTATTAGGAACAGAGCACTTGAGTAAACATAATAGATTTATACAAACTGAGGCTGTGTGCTCACAAACAGGAAGCTTCATATATAGAAACATGTTTGATATACTTATAAATGCACGTATTTACGTGGACTTGTTAAAATGAAATCAGTATTTAGGAATTTGGGACTCTTCATAAGAATGATGCTGGTGTTTAAAGCCAATTTGTCTGACTTGGTTCTTTTCTTCTAAGGTGAAAAGCTCCGTGTTCTAGGCTACAATCACAATGGGGAATGGTGCGAAGCCCAAACCAAAAATGGCCAGGGCTGGGTCCCAAGCAACTACATCACACCAGTCAACAGCCTCGAGAAGCACTCCTGGTACCACGGGCCGGTGTCCCGGAACGCTGCCGAGTATCTGCTGAGCAGCGGGATCAATGGCAGTTTCTTGGTGCGGGAGAGTGAGAGCAGTCCCGGCCAGAGGTCCATCTCGCTGAGATATGAGGGGAGAGTATATCACTACAGGATCAACACTGCTTCTGACGGCAAGGTACCTCGGCAGGGTAGCTGATGGGTCTGGGAGAGTGGCAGTTAGCCCTTGGCCAGGAGAACTCAGGGGTCTGCTTTCGGGGTGGTAAGTTATTGCAGTGAGCTCAGCTGAGATGTTTGAAGGGCCTTCCCAGTAAACAGCAGCATCATTCCTTAGCCTTATGAAGACCCTTTATTGAGGATCAGTCACTGATCTTCCAAGTCCTTGGGGCTGGTATGATTCTCTCATTGTCCTGCTGGTATTTTGTTGTTAGCAATTTGTTAAAATAGGGAAAATATCTGTTGGGTTTTAGACATTTTTTTTTTTTTTAATTTAGAGAGTTGCTTTTTATTTGTTTTTGCAGTTTTTGGCCAGGGCCAGGTTTGAACCAACCACCTCTGGTATATGGGGCTGGCGCCCTACTCCTTGAGCCACAGGCACCACCGTAGACATACTTCTTACAGGAAGACTTTTCCTTTGTAAGAAAATCTCTTTTAGGCTCAACACCCATTAGCACAGTGGTTATGGCGCCAGCCACATACCCTGAGGTTGGCGGATTTGAACCCTGCCCAGGCCAGCTAAACAACAATGACAACTGCAACAAAAAATAGCCAGGCATTGTGGCGGGTGCCTGTAGTCCCAGCTCCTTGGGAGACTGAGGCAAGAAAATTGCTTAAGCCCAAGAGTTTGAGGTTGCTGTGAGCTATGATGCCACGGCACTCTACCCAGGGTGACATAGTGAGACTGAGTCAAAAAAAAAAAGGAAAATCTCTTCTAATGTTAGTAAGTCATCCTCAATGAGAAAACTTCAAACAATAGATAAGTTTTTGTAAAGCAAAAGACCTTTACTAGCACTTCCTCGAAGTAAGTCTGGCAATATGGCCTTCTTCCTATAGATAAAATCACATTGATGGATATGTGTATGACACATACACACCCTTACACATATGTAAGTTGACCACCCTAGGGATTGTAACAAACTGGTCAATGTGAGGAACTAGGCCTGCTGTACTGATACGTACTTTGGTGCATGCCAGTCCATGAAAATGATGTCAGCTTAAGGCAGTGGTTAGTGCAGGGAGGTGGTCGACTGTGGAGGTTGCAAAATATTCTCTACATGTTGGCCACTCTTTGTAAAATTTTGTAATGAATATTTTGTAAATAAAGGTACATTTAGCTACAATTTCCCATTTCCCTATGGATGGAGACTTTGGGGTGACTGGGATACCCTGTATAATATATAATATGTATGTGCACACATAGTTTTTAAAACAAGTGGATCACACTATACCCATAGGTTTCCAAGCCCAATTATACTGTCATAAAGGAGTTGGCATAAATGGTTTTGTGGTCTTCATATAAATGGTCCTTAAGGATCCATGAGGGAGAGGGTGGCATTAACATTACCAGGTTCTTACTATGTGCTGGGGCATCTTACTGGCTCGTGTAAACCTCATATGAGTCCTCTGGGCAGTACTGCTGTGACCTGGTTTTCTTTTCTTTCCTTTTCTTTTTGTTTTGTTTCTTTTGAGAGTCTCACTCTGTCACCCAGTCTAGAGAGCCAGGTGATGGTATCCGCCTAGCTCACAGCAACTCCAGGGCTCAAGTGATCCTCCTGCCTCAGCCTCCTAAGTAGCTGGGACTACTGGCACCTACCACAACACCTGCTAGTTTTTCTGTTTTTAGTAGACATGGGGGTCTTGCTCTTGCTTAGGCTGGTCTTAAATTCCTGAGCTCATGCGATCTTCCACCTTGAGCTCCCATAGTGCTAGGATTATAGGCCTGAGCCACTGGGCCTGGCTTTATTAAATTCATCTTTTTCCTACATATTAGAAATATGTTGAATTTACCTAATGTATTTAGGCCTGTCGTTCTCTCTGTTCTCTTCTGTCGGTCTAGCTATATGCTGATACCAAAAGTTTGATTGCATTAGCTTTAGTGTAGCTAATATCTGGTAGGCCTAGTCCCCTCTCCCTGCCACCCCACCGCCCCTTTTAGAGACAGGGTCATGCTATGTTGCCCAGGCTGTACTCACTCTCCTGGGCTCCAGCAGTCCTTGTGCCTCAGCCTCCTGAGTAGCTGGGATTACAGGTGTGCACTGCTATGCCTGTCTCTCATCTTATCTTTTCACCATTTTCCTGGCTGTCCTCATATAGTCATTTATACCATGTGAACACACATACACTTCTTTTTAAAATGTTCTCATTTGTTTTCTTATATGTCTGAAAGTCTTCTGGCTAAAGTCCTCTTGCCAGTATCTGATACTTCCCATTAAGGGGCTTCAGTGTCAGCACTATGGTGCTGTGTGAGAGACAGCAGAGCCTGGTGGTGATATGTGCATAGAGACGGACCTTACCAGCTTACTTTTTGGGTCTTCGTGCTTATTCCAGATGTGGAGCTAGGTCTTTCAGTTCCGGGGGCTGTACTCCAGGGAGGTGGGGCCTTGGAAAGAGCCTTCAGACCCGCCACAGTAGCTTTCTAGTGAATCAGAACACCAGGCCACCCTGCCCAGAGGAGGCAGTGTTCTGGAGCAGACAGCTTGCTTCCCATCTGTGCCGCTTGTCCAAGGCAACTCTTGCTGTACCAAGATAATCACTTGAGGTTTCTTCTAGTGAACAGGATAATGGTTTCTTTCCCTAGAGTTGGTTTTTTTTTTTTTTTTTTTTTGAGACGGAGCCTCAAGCTATCCCCCTGGGTAGAGTGCCATGGCATCACAGCTCATAGCAACCTCCAACTCCTGGGCTCAAGCGAGTCTCCTGCCTCCGCCTCCCAAGTAGCTGGGACTACAGGCGCTCTCCACAACGCCTGGCCATTTTTTGGTTGCAGCCATCACTGTTGTTTGGCGGGCCCGGGCTGGGGATTCGAACCTGCCACCTTAGGTGTATATGGCTGGCGCCTTAGCCGCTTGAGCTACAGGCGCCAAGCCCCTAGAGTTGCTTAATCAACAGTTTTGGAACAGATGCAGGCAGGCGTGATCTCATTTTAACAACTCATCAACCGAGGGTTGGTCAAAATAACTCTCTGGGGCAAGGAGAGGGCTGCATATAGGATGTGTGATTTGCAGAATTTGAGATTTATCCTAAGAGGAAGCCAACCCCTCTGTCTAAAAGCCGCTGTGTGCCGGGTGGGTTCCTTTCACTCCAGGCAGAGCACAGGGCACTGATTTGGTCAGTAAGTAACCTCCACTGGGCAATCATTGGGCTTTCCCCGGGCATCGTCCTCCCATCAACTGTCGGAGCACTTGGACACTTACCAGCTCACAGGGTCACCAGGAATACCTTCTGCAGAGCTTCCTTTCCATGAGTGCCACACTCATGGGGATGTGTCTGAACACGTGGACAGTGTCAGAGCAGGAAGATGAAACCAGGCTGCTCTGGTGAAAAGTGCTTCTCATATCACAGAACTTTGATCCAATCCATTTTGGATTTCAAAGGGGAAAATTTAAGATTAGTAAGAGGGACAGTCTGGGGTTGAATAAGTATAATTCTTATTTTTAAATTAGTTTACTTCAGAAAACAAGTGAATGCAGAAGATTCCTCCCTGAGACGCCCACCCTTGGGCCCACGTGCCTTTCCCGTGTGCTCTGCGTTTTTCAGCAGCTGGTGTGTCCAGGGAGCCCAGGCTGGACTCTGGGAGTTTTGAGTTAGATCTTAAAAGGCTGAGCTGTGGCTGTTTTCCTAGGATGTCAACAGTCTTGAAAATCTTCAGATACTCTGGGGTTTGCTTGTTGTTCTTTTGATCTTCCTCAAAGTTTTTTTTTCTTTTCTTTTTTTTTAGACAGTCTAACTTTGTTACCCCCGGTAAAGTGCAGTGGCATCATAGCTCACAGCAACCTCAGACTCTTGGGCTCAAGCAATTCTCTTGCCTGAGCCTCCCAGGTAGCTGGGAGTACAGGCGCCTGCCACAGCACCCGGCTATTTTGTTGTTGTTGTTGTTGTCGTCATTGTTCTTTAGCAGGCCCCAGGCAGGTTTTGAACCCACCAGCCCCGGTGCATGTGACAAGCACCCTAACCACTGAGCTACGAGCTCCAAGCCGCTCCCCAGAGTTTCTAATGCTCTGTCGACACAGAATTAAGGACTGATTTTTCTTTACCTCTGCCTTGGTCATTCTTAGTTCTGAATATTTGTATCTACATCTCATTTATGTCTGTGAGATGCCACAGTGAGGTTCTTTAGTTCCTTATAGCCCTTGATAGAGTCTTTCCTTTTCTTGAATGATATGTCTTGTTGACATTTATTTTCATGGTCTGCTGAAGTGACAGGTTCAATTTGGGCTTAAGGTTGAGCAGCATAGCAGGAAGGGACTACTTGGAGCCTCTTGGGTTGTTAAGGTTTATCCTCCCTACCAGTGGCTCAGCAGGTGCAAGCCTCCTGGTTGAAAGCTTGCTACACACAGCTCATCTGCCCTTGGAGAGAAGCCTTGAAACCTTACTGAATGCTCCTGGGCTTCTGCCTTCCTACTGGGATTTGAGCAGCTCTGGAGCAGCCTGTAGGCAGTGTGTCCGGAGTGGATCACCAGGGTCTGAAGCAGCCAAAGGTTACACAAGTTTCAGATCTGTTAAGCTTGTGAGTGTGGAGGAGTTTCTGGGGGTTTATTCGACAAGTCTTATCTTTTAGGATCGGGGATGATTAGAAAGAGGCAGCAGGCCTGGCTGGCCACCCCCAGGTGCATAGCATGGCATAATGGCATGCCATTCACGAACTAACTTGACTTTCTTCCCTGAACATGCCACAAATTCCTGATGATTACCCAGTTTACCAGCAATATGTTGCTCAAAAACTAGAACTAAGGAGGCCAGCAGACTGGACGGTTAGAGAGTCATAGAGAAGTTGAATCCAATATGCTGTGCATTTGAGGGAGATGGTTTTAATATTTCGTGTTGGTGTATAAGTTTCATGTCAAAGATGAGCTAAGTCACAGGATATGTAAATTTAATTACTGAGAAGATAAAGTTTGCTCATTCAGTGAAACCTCCTGTTACTCTGGGATCTCTAGTGGAATAGCCTGTGACGGAATCGTATGAGACTGAGCAGATGCTGCACAAACTGGGGCGTAGGAGAGCCATCAGCATTCTGTGCAGGATTGAAGGAACTTGACCTTTAGCTTGGGGAGCATTGCCTTCAGACCCATCAGATGGGAGATAATGAACCTTGCTCCCAGGTCCCCTGCCTGCGGGCTCTTTTGTCCCACACTGGGTCATGCTTTCGGAGGCGATTCCAGGAATGTCTTCTTGGAATGGCCATTCTCGTTTCTTCACACTGCCGGCTCAGCTAACCTGAGAGGAGCAGAGAGGGGTTGGAACGCCTGCAACTTGCAGTGAAGTTACTGGACATACCTTTGCCGGGGGTTGGGGTGGCGGGCAGGGATTAGCATCTGTCCCTGTGTCCTCCTCTGGTTTTTTTGTGAGTGGCACGTGGATCTGTGACAGAGCTGAGCAGGGTGATATGGACATTGTCGTGTGCGTATGAAGCTGACAGCAGGCCTCAGCCATGCTGACTCCCACACCCCCTGCCCCATTATTGTGTGCACATGTGTCTGAGTGTGACTCAGCGTGTCCCAGAGCAGTTCACACAGAGGTTTTCTTGGACACTCTGAAGGATGAAAAGTCTGCACACGTGGGTGCCTCCTTATCCTGCAAGTTCTGTACATTAGAGGCCCCATCTTGCAGAGGGACAAGCCAGTGTCCTCAGGCCACAGTCATCACATGAGGAGCAAGTTCCCAGAGCTGAAGCCTTGGGTTTGTCAGAAGTTTATTTTAGTAGGATTGTTATCAAAAGAATATAACCCCCCAAAGTCTGCCATTGGCTTGCTTGAGTTTTAGAAATTCATTTATGCCATTTTCCCAAGCAAAAAAAGGAAGTAAGAAAAAATACCCTTGTTGATAAATCCTCTTTCTCCTCTTGAAGGTTGTGGATGGGATCACATAGCCAACAGGTGCAGAGGTTTTGGCCACGCCTGGTGTGTTGGGGACTTTTTCTTACCTTTTCTAAGTAATAAGCTGTTACAGTGATAGCTGAAGCCTGAGCCTGTTCCTTTTTCTCCCTCTCGCCCCTGTCGCCACTGGGACATCCAAAATTTGTGTGCCTCCTTCCCACATCTCTGCAGTTTGGGCAAGTCTTCTGAATGCTTGGTTGTGATTTTAAGTATTCTTTTACCTTCAACGATGGTCGGCTGCCCTGAGGAAGCCATCAGATTCAGTTGTGTGCCTTGGAGCCCAGATGTTCTGTATGAATTTTAATGTAGCATTGTTTTTGGTAAGAAGCGTTCCCTTGCCACCCTAGTGAAACAAACAAAAAGACAAAGAAAGGAAGAAAAAAGGTGGCTGCTGGCCCCCACATTGTTGCTTTGTGCCAACCTGCTCCTCCCCTTCCTCTCCATCTCAGCTCCATCCAGCAGAGAACCCTGCACGGAAGGGTCTGCTGCACAGGGACTCAAACAGTGCAGCAGACGCTTAAATCCCTTCTGTTTACTCCCCATATTGGAAAGGGCTGTGTCATCTCCTTGTGGGGCCCTTTAAGCCCAAGCTCCTGCTCTGTTTCCCGGTGAAGGGGTGTCTCACCTGGGCAAACCGCTATGATTTGCAAGTCATGGCCTCTGATGCTTCGTGCTCCAGCCAAAATGATGGGCAGGAATGCAAAGGAGACTCAATGCTGTGTGCAGTGATTTTTAGTTATAGATTATAGAAAATATTTTCTATCAGCGAATAGTTGTTCTATTCATTTAATCAACAGCTACTTATTGGGGAGTACCTTTTATGTGCTACTTTCTTGTTCTTGACATTGGGGGTACTGAATAATAACAAAAGAAAGTTTAGGGCTCTGTTCTCATGAAGCTTACGTGCTATTAAGTAGAGACAGACAGTAATTAGGCAAGCAAACAGAAAGTTGTCAGCTGATGGTAAGTCCAATGCAGAGAAGACAGGTGATGTGACTTGTGATGGGCAGTGAGTTTAGATTGGGGAGTCAGGGATGACTCCACAGACATTTTAACTGGCTGGGAGTGAGAGAGAGAACTGGGCATGCGAAGATTAGGGGCTGGAGGATTTCAGGCAGAGGGAGCAGCAGGTGCCAGTGAAAAGTTTCGTGGTGTCTTTCTGCTTTAGCAAGTAAATTACAGCATGTGCAGAGAAAGGGCAATATGAGTGATTTTCTGAACACTCAGTCCTATATGGACAGCCATTTATCTGAGTTTTGCTGTGCACTAAATTAAGGCTCAAATGGTTTATTTGAGTAGTTGGAGATGGCGTCTGCTCAGTGACCTGAGGACCATCCCTTGTTTTCTTTCCTCAGCTCTACGTCTCCTCAGAGAGCCGCTTCAACACTCTGGCTGAGTTGGTTCATCACCACTCGACTGTGGCTGACGGGCTCATCACCACTCTCCACTACCCAGCCCCCAAGCGCAACAAGCCCACGGTCTATGGCGTGTCCCCCAACTACGACAAGTGGGAGATGGAGCGCACAGACATCACCATGAAGCACAAGCTGGGCGGAGGCCAGTACGGGGAAGTGTACGAGGGCGTGTGGAAGAAGTACAGCCTGACGGTGGCCGTGAAGACCTTGAAGGTGAGCCTGGGCAGCAGCAGCGCCAGCCTGCGGCTGGACATGGTGCACAGTCTGCTGGTATCTAGGGATGCATCCTCCCTGAAGCCTGCCCTGCACACATGCTCTGAGGGCTCACTGGTGCCGAGTAATTGACTCTTCGGTCTGTGTTCTGTGTGTGTCTTTGAACCATTCTTAGGACCCCAGCATGTTTCCACAGTGGTGAGAGCTGACAAGTGTTGGGGGGTTTGGTTTAAAAAGGTGAGTCCTTTGGAGAAGTTTTCTCATTCTGTGGCAAGATTCTTTTAAAACTGCAGGTTCTGTTTGTGTGTTGTGGAGATCATTTCATACTGAGTTACGAGGGGGAAGAAGAAAAACCTCGAGTTTTGAAAGAAGGAGATTGAACTAAAATGCTTTTGACTTCTCTGTTGATTTTATTGGCAGATTTGAAAGGCAGGTGCAGTGGTGTTCCCAGCACGCTCTAATTCTGTGTCCCGCAAAAAAGGTGGAAGTGCATGTGTCCCCTGGAGTTTGAGGTTGCTGTGAGCTATGACACCATGGCAGGAAATGGAGACAAAGCCTGATCTTTTTTGTTAACTACGATGCTCACCTTCTTCACTAATGAATAGTGTTTAGTTTCCTGGCATTTTTTTTCTCTTTTGAAGTTCTTTGAAATCCTTAGGATGCCAAGGGAAAGAAAGGAGGTTTTTTCATTTTCTGCCCTCTGCCTTCTTCAGAAGGTGATCTGAGCCTTTGCTGTACTGAGAGTGCCCCCTGGTGTTGACTTGCCTTATCTACACTTGCTCCAAATAAGCCTTAATATGTCGTTCTGTGCACAAAAATGGAGCAAGGGAGTCCCTTTTTGTAGCTGCTAGAAAAGAAAAAGAACTGAAATGTCTACTGCTGAGAAGAGTAAGCTCAAGTCTGTGTGTGTGTCTCAAAATTCTGCACACATGTTGAGACTGTGCAGCCAGGGACTTAGCTCTTAGGGATTCTGTGAGTGACTTAATGACTTCTCTCAGAGGCACAGTAAAGTCGGACAGATAATTTCTAGCTGGTTTAAAGTTTCAGCTGCTTCAGAGGAAAGATCACATTCTGTGATCCTAGAAACTGCAGGTGGCTCCCTGATGCGTGTGTTCAACATGTGCCTGTCTCTGGGGCAGGGCTGGCACTTGGTTGGGGTGGGGGTGGGGGTGGCATGGATTTGAGTCACCTTGAGGAATTTTCCCAGATGGAACTTTTTTCTTTGTTTCCTTCTTTTTCTTTCTTTCCTTTTTTTTTTTTTTGAGACAGAATCTTTTGTCGGCCTTGGTAGAGTGCTGTGGCATCACAGTTCACAGCAACCTCTAACTCTTGGGCTCAAGCAGTTCTCTTGCCTCATCCTCCCAAGTAGCTAGGATCATAATGCCCAGCTATTTTTTGGTTGCAGTTGTCATTGTTGTTTAAGCAGGCCTGGGCCATGTTTGAACCCACCAGCCTCCGAGTATGTGGCCAGCACCCTACCCACTAAGCTACAGGCACTGCCCAGAATTTTTTCTTAATTGAATAAATATTTATTGAATTCTTCACTTCTATTTGCCAGACTCTGAGCCCAACATTGGTATCAGAAAATGAATCAGACCAGGGCCAGGCATGGTGGCTCATGCCTGTAATCCTAGCACTCTGGGAGGCCGAGGCAGGTGGATCACTTGTGCTCAGAAGTTCAAGACTAATCTGAGCAAGTGTGAGACTTCATCTCTAAAAATGCATTGTGGCAGGTGCCTGTAGTCCCAGATATTTGGGAGGCTGAGGCAAGGGGATTGCTTAAGTCCAAGAGTTTTTGAGGTGACACTGTGGCAATCTACTGAGGGCAACAAAGTGAGACTCTGTCTCAAAAAGAAAGGAAAAAAAAGAAATGAATCAAAACGAATCAGACAGAGGTCCTTCCCCTTGGATGGCGGGTCAGGGAGGTGGCATCTAGGCCATAGGAGAAGCAGGCAGAACCCTGGGTTGCAGCACAGCAGTGGAGGGCACACTTGGAGCTGTGGTGCTGCTACATGGGTAAGCAGAGGAGGAACAGGTGGCTGTGCTTGGCAGGAGGAAGCATTTGGGGAATTGTGATCCAGGGCTGTGGGGAAGGAGCAGGACGTGGGCAAGGGAGAGAGGCTGAGGGTAAAGAGGGGTACAGTAAATCACTGAGGCCTTGAACCTCAGGAAAGGAGCTGGGATTTTATCCTGAAGGCATTGGGAAGCCATCAAGGGGCTTACTTTACAGGAATGGCAGGACTCGGTTTCACGTTCTCAGAGGCCACTGTGTTGTAGGACACCAGTACTCCATAGATATGGAGATTGTAGATATGGCCACCCTCACATGTGGCAATTGCCTGTGGCTTTGAAGTAACAGATATTTATACCTGTATGCCAAGCTTTGTAATCAACTCCTATTTTTTTCCACGTGTGCATTTTAGTTTATGATCCTTAAGTAAAAACCAGAAAGATCAACTGTTGCCTCTGTCTCACAAACTAGGTAAATGCAGGATGTGTGAGTGCTCCAGGTCCTCGATTCCTTACAGATTGGAGACCAGGCCCAGAGAAACAGGGCCTTGATCAGCTCGGTAAACTCAACAGGCCTAAATATCATCCCCATAGTTAGAGGATTTACACAAAAACAGAGGACTGAAAGCACAAAATATACAAAATTCAGCCAGTCACAGCGTATCTGAAAGTTTTAAAGAGAGATAAGAGTCTGCATAATTTAAGATTTGGGGAAAACCCACCTAAGGAGATGATGCTGCAACATTATTTTCTGAATGAGCGAAGGAGAAGATTCTGGAGGAGAAAACCCACTGGAGTTCAGTGTGGTGGTAGCAGCTTTCTTACACCAGTAAATTGTCTAGAAGTGGGTGTCCTTCAGGAAGTGCTTTACCAATAATGTATCATTAGAGTTTTTATTATGCTTTCAGTTTTTCCAAAGAGCCTAATTAACTTATCCCCTATTATAGGTAAAGAATTACAGGATTTCTTTGAATAGTCACCACCAGTAGTATCTAATTATGGAGAAGACATCACATTCCCTTCTAGAGGTATATTAACTCAAAATATGGTACTAACCAATGTAAGTGAATTATCCTTTCTTGTGTGCACACACACACACAAATCCCTATAGCAGGTTGACTGTTTGTCAAGTAAGAGCAGTGTCAGTATTTGGGACATTTATTTCCACTATTGAAGTTGAGAACTTTGGGGTCTAAATTACATTACCAGCTGCTGTGTGCTATAAGCCTGGCAGAGTTCTTGAGTGCTTGTTACATATTGCATCTCATTTAATCCTCATGACCTGAAGAGAAGGGTACTGATGTTACAGGTTGAGCAACCCAAATTTGAAAACCCCAGACCTGAAATGCTCTAGAATCTGAAACTTTTTGAGTACTGACATGATGCTCAGAGGAAATGTACATTGGACATTCAGGTTTCAGAGTTTTGGATTTGGGATGCTCACCTGGTAAGGATATACAACTATGAAAAACATGCAAACAATTCCAGACCACTTCTGGTGCCAGATACTGCAACTGAGGGATGCTTGCCATATATTAATATCTTAAGGTTGTGGAAAATGAAGCCATGTGAGTGGCCTGGGCTCCAGTATCTAAGAGCAGCAGAGTCGGGATTCGAACTTAGGCATCCAACTCTAAAGCTTGACTGTTTTTTTGAGACAGGGCCTCAAGCT